CTGACGACATCGTACCAGAAACCGCTCCGCGTGTTAAGGACAACAATGATGTCGCGACTCCAAAACCGATTATCGGACACACCGATAAATCCGCCCAAGCTGACGCGAGCACCCCTGTTTCGGATCAACCTACACAAAGTAGTCCCAAAGCGACGGTCACACGTAGTGGTAGGCGAGTGAACCAACCGTCGAGATATCAAGAATATGAGATGTGAAATGGGGCATAATAATCCCCTATACATGTGTAGATAGTTACAGTTTAATTTTTGGTTTGGTTCATCTGAATCAATATTTTTTATTTATTTTTTCAAAAGTTTTCAGATAGAATCAATATCTTCATGAAAGTGTATGCACAAAACCTAGTATCCAGGTGAACAGAGCTAAAAGTACAACAAAACAATTTGTTTGTGTTTTCCTGTTTATTCCGAGTGGACGAAGAGACGAACTGTTGCCAATTTGTTACTTAATGAGTTATTTTCAAAATAGACATGGTTCACATTCAATCTCATGGTAAAGTAATTGATCAGTTCAAACGTACATAAATCATGACATTTTCTAGTCAATTCTGATCATTTTATTTTTTAAATAAGTCAATATTGATGTCCATCCTACAGTCTATTTAATTATAATATAATTAACAATGACACCCAGAAAAGACATTGGATAATTTGTTCAGAACTTTGTTCTCAAAAGAAAGGGGTTGTCGTATTTTGACTTATCGATTAGTTTGGCCTGTTAAGCCATTTAGTAATTATTTACTGTACTTACCTGAGGACATCCGGGCATTGTAAAATGATGGCTGATTAAAACCTGACATGAAGCAAAGGTCTTTAGTTTTCATTGGAGTATGAGAACAGCTGTATGTTGATTCAAAAGCCAGATTCACTATAGCTGGAGTGGGAGACATACATGTGTGTATATATATATGGGGCAAAGAAGTAATTCACACAGTGTGGACAAGTTTAGGTTGTGTGTATATATATATATATATATAAGTCTGTATTGCAGGGTTTGCTGAGTAGTCTATGGGAAAGTAGAGCTTAATAAAGGATATCTGCAGATCTAGACTAAGTGTGTGTGAACTATATATATGATGTGAAGAGGGAGAAAGACAGTTTAAACGACCTATATCTCAGTTAATCTGTACAGGGTTAATTAGAACAACTAACTATCAGTATATGTACAGGAATAGCCATTAAATGACAGAGGTCAGGCACAACAGTCTAAATACTCCCCCCTCCAGTGGAAATGTCCGTCAGAGTACATCGACGCAGGTGTAGGGCATATAACACATATTTCTAGAAATGTTCTCTATTTCATACACTGTTTCCTTGTCCTGTAGGCATAGCGGTAGGAGAGGATTAGTTACGTCAAGAACAGTCTGTAAGCACGTTCCAGCATCCCTGACGAGTGCTGGTTGAGCCAACTATATGGTCGTAGTTGTCAATGATTTCTTGATGAGCGCTATGTTGATTCTAATGCTGGGCGCCGCCGTAATACAAAATACAACAAAGCTTTGACACTGGTTTTCCTCACTGCCAGATTGTCCATGACACAGAGCAAAAAACATTGTGAACTGGTGCAAAGCGCATGGTGTCATGGTGTAGGTATGACGGTAATGATTTTCCTTGGCGTAGGTGTTCCACATGCTTTTTCCAGTAGACATTGATGGCAGTTTTGACGAGATGTAACCAATTTCCCTTTGCTAATTAAGGCGGTGTCCAACAGACGGAGGGCTGACGGGAGTCCATACCGTTCTGTCAGTTTTTGTATGTCTTCGGGCGATTTCCCTCTCAGGGTAATCTTTTCCAATTACATTACCGGAGAGCAGGAGGGCTTGTTTGTCTAGGTAAGCCTCAACGGAAGTTCTCCAGATAGGATGTATACTGCAGAGTCGGCGGTAGATGACGGTAGTCCCATGATATCGACAGCTGGATTAGAACCTTGGGGTTCGCTCCACGTACCCGTGTAGGCCGCCCCCATTAGTGAATAGGCCGTCCTCCTGGCAAGCTGAACCCTTTCTCCTGAGATGTTCATAACATACTTTTTGCTAGATGATGACCTCTTTAACCCCAAGTGTTTATAGGTTGATACAACCTCTAAGCTCTTATTGTTGAGGTCCAGGCTGACTTGGTCCACTTCAAGGTGTTTCGGACGGTTGAAGATCATGATCTTGCTTTTAGTGGCACTAAGGCGGTATCGTTCTCTTAAGGCAAAGTATCCTTGAAGGTGGAGCATCACTTGTAGCTCACATGGGTCATTTGACAGCAGAACAATGTCGTCTGCTCTTGTAGGACTGCTTACATGCGTCGTCCCTATTTTAAAGTCCAGATTAACCCTTTCACCACTGTAGACCATAATGGACTCAATTAGATCAATGCATGGTAGAGTCTACTAAAGTTACAGAGGGGTGAAAGGGTTAATTAACATCTTATACGCAGTTGGAGACCAGCATCCACCCTGACGGATTCCTTGCTGTTCTGAGAAGCATTATGAGATGTTGCCTACAATAATCTAAATAATAATTAAAACTTAAATATGCATAAAATACATTTGGGTCTGTTTAGATCCTGATTTCTTATGTAGATAAATAAAAAATGAACAAGTTCAAATGACTATCAACCACGTCCTCTGGCCATAGAAACAGAGCATTATATAAATCACAAAACTTAAAAAAAAATAGGCAAAGCACGTAGCACATATGTAAACAAAATATGAAACAAAAAAGGCATTGCACATCAGAGCACCACAGCACATAATTTATGATCAGAGGACTGGTGACTGGGCAACCCCCACCTACCAAGTCCTCCGATAATGAGTAATATAAAGCAACTTTAAAACATGTGAGTTATTTTGATAATAAAAAGGAACTTAATAAATAATATTTGGCTGTGTTAGGGCATTTTAAAAATTTGAATTATGGCAGATTTAATTGTTCTTATGATAACGGTCGCCTTCTAGCTTCGCGCTTGTAATATGTACTTACAATGTATTAGCACGGAATTATGTATTAGATGCATTCTAGTAAATGGGAGCAAGTTTCCTCCCGCTCTCCACGAAAGAACCATATAATGCTGGATGATTTTAATATTTGTTGGAATCAAGAAGAAAATCAGATGTATATAACTTATCACACCATATTAAATATGTTTGGATTTCGTCAAATCATTCATGAAGCTACGAGAATTACAAATAACACCTGTACCCTGAAGATCGCATTCTTTGTAATTACAAAGACAGAATCGGCCAGTCTGGAACTATCTCAATTGGTTTAAGGGATCACTTTCTTACTTATTGTACAAGGAAAGTCACTAGAGGCTCAATTAAGAAACACAATACAGTGAAAATAAGATCTACAAAAAAATACAACAAAGACCTCTTCAAAGAAAAGCTTCTTAATGCTAATTGAATGTTTTTGTGTTCGGAGTCAGGGGAAATCTTGGTCAAAATTAAGAGAAATATTTATGAAAGTTTTGTATATTGTAGCTCCAGTCAAAGAAATTAGACTGAAGCAGAGAACTGAACCATGGAGAGCTCAGATATTTAAGACAATATTCGGTTGAGAGATAAATGTTTGCATCTATATATAAACCACAATAATGAGTCTGACTACAAAAATGTTTGTCTACTAATCAGATATTTTTTTTCAAAATCGAAGAAAATCGTAACAAACCCAAAAAACTGTGGCAACATTTGAAAGATCTAGGATATGAAAAAGATAAAAAAAAAAATCCAGTTCCAACATTGTCTTAAATATTGAGGATAAAAGCTGTTTTGACGGTCATACTATAGCCAATTTGTTCAATAACTTTTTCACTACCATTGCCTCAAGCTTAGTTAGTAGACTACCTTATCCAAAGAATTTTTTTAATTTTGGCCAAACTAGAAATTTTAGAAATGTTAATTTTCATCTGAAACACATTTCTGAAGATTTTGTTCATAGAGAACTTTGCAATATTAACCCTTACCAAAGCACCGGTCTAGACGGAATACCTGCTAGATTTTTGAAAGACCGGGCTGATGTATTGAAAATTCCTTTTACTTTACTCATTAATACATCTATAAGTACTGGATCAGTACCGGATGAACTCAAGTTAGCAAAAGTAAAACCTTTATTCAAGAAAAATGATAAACTTCAAGTTGAAAATTACAGACCTGTGAGCATACTAAGCACTGTTTCCAAAATTCTTGAAAAAGTTGTCTGCGTCTAACTGGAACATTTTCTAGTTTCTAATAATATGCTCCATGAGTTACAATCTGGATTCAGAAGTTGTTATACTACAGACACTTGATTAATTCGTCTATTTGATAATATTCACAGGTACCATAATGCTTGACCTTCAGAAAGCTAACAGTCGATCACCATATACTTTCTAACAAATTGGAAATTATGGGAGTTAAATCTGTTAAATGGTTCCAGTCCTATCTGCAAAATAGAAAACAAGTTGTTTATGTACATTTAAATAGAGTAAAATCCAAAGAAGCTGAAGTTGATTGTGGAGTTCCTCAACGGAGTATTTTAGGCCCTTCATTATTTTTAACTTATGTAAATGATATGTAAATCAGTATAGATCCTGCTTGCAAGCTTATTTTATATGCTGATGACAGTACAATTCTCTTTTCTCACTCTGACCCAAAATTGATATCAACCAAATTGAGCCAAGTTCTAGAATCATGTTCAGAATGGCTAGTTGATAACAAACTGTCATTACATCTGGGGAAACTGAATGCATCCTCTTTGGAACTAAGAGAAAGCTAAAAAATGTTGAACAGTTTAAAATTATTTGTAATGGTCATACTATTCTGATGCAACCTTTCGTCAAATATCTTGGTTTGTCCATTGATTGCTTTTTTATCTGGTGAATTTATAGTCAACATCATTGTAAAAATAAGGTAAGTAATAGACTTAAATTTCTATATAGACAAACAAGTTCTCTTCCACTAGTAGTAGACTTAAATTTCTTTATAGGCAAACAAGTTCTCTTCCACTAGTAGTAGACTTAAATTTCTATATAGACAAACAAGTTCTCTTCCACTAGTTGTAGACTTTAATTTCTATATAGGCAAACAAGTTCTCTTCCACTAGTGGTAGACTTAAATTTCTATATAGGCAGACAAGTTCTCTTCCACTAGTTGTAGACTTAAATTTCTTCATAGGCAAACAAGTTCTCTTCCACTAGTAGTAGACTTAAATTTCTATATAGGCAAACAAGTTCTCTTCCACTATCCACCAGGAAAATCTTATGCTCAGCCATAATACAGTGTCATTTTGATTACTCTTGTTCATCCTGGTACTCTGGTTTAACAAAAGTTATTAGATATATTCTTAAATTAGATTCCAGGTCCAGAGTTGGTTACAATGAATTTTCTAGTATAAATATGCTTAATGTTAGTAACAGAGTAAAACAACTCAGAGTAAACCATGCTTTTAATATTTTTAATGACAAACGTCCCTCCTATTTAAAAACTGACTTCAAAAGGCTAACAGAACTGCAGCAACACTATATACAAGATGGAGTGAATACAATTTTTATATTCCAAATGTGAGCAGGGCAGAGTCTACCACGTTTGATTACAATGCTGCTAAAGATTGGAACTCTTTACCAGAAAGTATCAGGAAGATCAGGAATAAATCATCATTCAAAGTTGCGATCAAAAAACTTCTTTTTGAAAAACTGAAAAAGAACAGGATCAGACATTTGTATTTTATTGATGTAATATGTTCTATATACATGTTTGTGTATGTTTGTATGTGAGTGTGTACACAATATGGGTGCTGTACTTCATAGCAATGTGTTTTAAGTCACAACCTATATACAGTGTATTAATATTAACATCAATTTCAACATAAAATTAAGTTATCTTCAAAACATAATAACTATAGTAATTTTTTTCTTCAGTAGTGTTTATGTGTCTTTTAATGGACCACAGTGGAAATAAGCTTCAGGGCTTTCTGGATAATCCTGGTTTTAAGGGCAGCATATACTTTTTAATTTTTCGTAGGAATAGCCATTACCTATCTTATAATTTATAAAAGTGTGATAACCTTTTTTTAGAGACTTGTATAATTTTACATTAATATGTTTTATAATGTAATCAGCTATATAAATTATTAGTGCCAAAACATGTATTGGGTACTGTATGAAATTGTTATGTTGTTGTACCTTTTTACCAAATAAACTTGAAATGAAGACATACAAATAATTATGTATAGCACCATTGTTATATGCATATTATTTGTTGCATTTTTTAATAATGAAAAAAAACCCACCAAAATAACCCGTGTGGTATATAAGATAGGTCTCTGATAATATTTCCTTGAGTGTAAATGTTTATTCGAAAAGAAAATGGAAAAATAAGTTCTTCCCAAACGGGGAATCGAACCCCGGCCGCCGCGGTGAGAGCGCGGAATCCTAACCACTAGACCATTTGGGAACTTGTCTAATGGAAAACAAACAAAGTTTATAATGGTATGTTTTAATTACATTTTTTTTTATTATCACGAATACTTGACGTTTTATGTAAAATATCAATTTAAATGTATTGGCAATCATACCTTAAATTAAGATCGATGCAAATGGTTTAGCCGATAAGTATAAGCGTAAGCACCACGGGAACCGGCTTTCGATCAAGCACGTGTCTTGTGGTCCTGGTCTGACAAACGCTTAAAAAAAATAACAACAAACTCAGTCGTAATGAAAACTTTACGGGTACTTGAACTCTACAGCGGGATCGGTGGGATGCACTGTGCTCTAACAGGTTGGTTTTAGTTATGTAACTTAACATTTAGTTCAATATTTCCCGGTAAAATGGCGTTATATCATGATACCAGCCCCGTCTGCGGCCACAAGAACGACCATACAAGTTGTTGTCTGTACGTACAGTACTGTCAGTTCACAGGAAGGGCCTACTTTTGAACACACCGCCTTGTTGCAAGAGGTATAACCGTCCCCCTTAGCTCTACTAGCCGCCTTCGTTACGTGAAGTAAGATCGGAGCAGACGAGGCGTCTGTATTGACAGACGAGTCTAGCACCTGTGGTCAGTTTTAAGGGCACTATGCGGTTATTTTAGTGATCATGATATAGCAGGGGGGCGCGCCTAATTACCCAATACTACCCAATACCACCCAATACTACCCAATACTACCCCATACGATCCAGTTATGAACCAAATACTTCTTTATTACTGTGAAATATCACCTTTGTAGACGTTATTTACTTCCATCTGCCATATTTTATCGGGAAATATGCGATTTGGTGCCGAAAACATCACCGAATTGCCGTGACTATGACCCAATACTACCCCATACCACGGAATTAGATTAGATCTAAGTCCGTGCCCATACCACCCAATACTACCCAATACCACCCAATACTACCCCATACGACCAAGTTATGAACCAAATACTTCTTTATTACTGTGAAATGTCACAGTTATTTACTTCTATATGTCACATTCTATCTGGAAATATGCGATTTGGTGCAGAAAACATCACCGAAATGCCGTGACTAGGGGTTCGACGATTTACAGGAACGGGCAGAAATCTATTAATTTTTATATAGGCCTATACATTAATGAATATATATATTAGATCAGAGACGTATATAACACAGTTATGGCTTTATACGTCTCTGATTAGATACATTAAAGTATCATTATCGGGTATAAGATATATTTGATAAAATGATTGCAATTACATGATCGCCATTCGGGGCAGAATCGGACTAAATTATATTTATATTTATATTATTATATCTTTTTTATCGGGTACAAGATACGTCATTTGATAAAAGGATTGCAAAGAATTTAAAAAAAAGTATTGTATTGATATGGATCGGGCAAGAACGGTCGACGATTTACAGGAACGGACAGAAACGGGGCAGGATCGGACTTATTTATATATATTTATTGTATATATTTAATTATCCTTATCTGGTATAAGGTATATTTGATAAAAGAATTGCAATTACAGGAACGGGGCAGGATCGGAATATATATATATATATATATATATAAATTGCCAGGCCGAGGTTCCAATTTATGTCTCTGTTTTATTCTATAAAAAAGGGTTGTTCAGAGAATTATATATTACATATATAATAAATATGTATCTGAGTTATTTTCTCATTTATATATATGACATTGTTATTGCGATGTCATAACACCTGAAACATTGGAAATGACATTATGATAACTAAATTTTAATAACTTCATAACTTATACTCAACTCTTAATAAATAGCATGAATATATTTTGAGTGAATTAATTGGTGTTAATGTGTAGATTACAATCCCATCACGTCTACGATCTTAAAAAAAAGAAAATACGCAATTTTCCAACTCAAAAAAGGGACATCAATCTGAAAATTAAATATTATTCTATATGTAAATATAAGTTAATTGAAATACGTGTTTTACGTAAATAAATATTGAAGTCCATATGTTGGATTGTTAGGCCTTATCTGTTATAGAAAAACGATACTGTATATTAATTGTATATGTAAAGAAGAAAGAAACACGGTGAAACGCTTTAAGTTTCATTTTTTTTCAAAGGCCGATGTGGTCAAAACTGATTATCTAATTCCGTAATAGTAGACAATAGACTTCTTGTTCCAATGTTCAAGCTGGTTTAAGGAAAGGCTACTCTACAACTGAAAATATATTTATCCTTCATGCTTTAATATCTATATACGTTTCAAAAAGTAATTTTGGGGTTTGAAAATACCAATATGATTGAGAAATTACGTGTACAGTTTTGTTAAAGAATTTTAAACATACGTAGCTCCACAGCAAATATAATGGTATATGGTGAAACGGGTAGGTACTCGCTGGATATTGAAATTAAATCTAGAATGATAATGTTTTGGTATAAACTAATTACAGGTGAAAATAAATTGTCTAGTATAATGTACAAGCTTATGCTGAATTTACATAAAAATGATTTCGCTGATTTTAAATGGATTTCATATATCAAGAATCTATTCAATTGCACGGGACTAAGTTTATGTTTAAAATTAGATATTGTACACGGAATTAGATAAAGTCCGTGGTTATGCATTCATATAACTTGATGTTTTTAAAGACTTAAATTTGTTTAAATAAATTTGACGAGTATTTAGTAAGAGTAGATTTACTTTTCACGACCATGTATCTTTAGTATATATTGGAACAAATCTATATTTATACATATTATATCGATAGTTGTTATAAATAAAAAAAAATCCGTAGAATGTTCATGTACGTCAATACGTTTATAACGTTCATTGCATAATAAAATTATTTAAACATTTGTTCTAATTTAGTTGACTACAAGTAATTTTGGGGGAAATCCTCTATTTGCCAATTCTATTCAAAATTTATCTCCGTTTTCGTCTTCATTGCATATTCTATATATATATATATATATATAGTTAAGTCAAGTCAAGTCAATTTTGTTTATTATAGTGTCATATATCACAATTACATCGTACAAGTATATAGTTACACAGTATAAACACATATAGTTACATAATTTATAATATCATAATTTTGTTAAGAACAGCTATTATACATAATACATTAATAAATTAAAACAAACTATCACATGTGCCAATCCAGAGAGCAGGTGATTGGGACAGCCCCTACCTAACAAACTCCTGGATTTTGTCCTTACATATTACATACTATAATAGTTAAAAGGTTTCTTTTATATTTACTGCCTTAAAACATGATGTCTTTAAAAAAACAATAACAATGGTGATAAATAAAATGAATAATTTCCTAGTTCTACATTGTAGTGAAATTTAGATTTCCAAGGGTTGGGGAGCCCCCTTCCAGCGAGGTCTGCTAAATTCACACTAACTAGTAGCTAATTATATTTAAACGGAAGATTATTTTCATAAAAAAATGTTTCTGATTGACACCTGGTATCATATTTAACAAATGCATTAAATAGAAAATGTAATTGTATATGATGTTCAGCCTAAAATGGCTTACAAGACACTGTTTAAAATTATAACTAATCACATAGACTGCTACGTCTTCTGTACATATTATATAAGTGGTTTGCAAGTGGAATTTGTAATTCCTCGGAAGACATTATAAAATTAAATTATAATATATATATTTACCTGTAACTGTGATTTAGATCACGGACTTAGATGTTAAATAAAATTGCAACATCACGGTATCTACCATGTATCTATAGAGATCACATTTACTTGAGATGGCCAACGAGTTGAATAAAGTATATGTGTATACAGTATCTCTGGGAGTCGAATCAAGTTTTCATGTCATTTAGTATTTTGCTTTCGGATGATCAAAGACGTATATATTACGTAATGTAATATATACGTCTCTGGATTGATGTATAAGAAGCGTAACGTAATTCCTTTTATTAATCTATTTAATTTTTACATTACTTAATGACAACCTACTCGTCTACCCTTCATAAGATTGGTCAGGGAACTATATATGGAAAAAATATCTAGCTTGTCCAAAACAGACTATCTGTGAGTTAATCAAGTAATTGAAAGGACTTCGAATCATATACAATCCATATACTTTTTGAATTTCGTAGTATTTGAGTATCTAATTTAACTGAAGGTTCTTCTCCAGCATTGTTATATAATTGATACTGTTATGTTTAACAAAATTGAATAACTAACATTTATGAAAAGTAATTTAAAATTTTCTAAATATTTCCTGCTAAATTTATATATATGATCTTAATAACACCATTTTATGACATGAATAGAATTAATATAGTATCATGTAATTGCAATTCTTTTATCAAATATATCTTATACCCGATAATGATACTTAAATGTATCTAATTAAATATATATATTCATCAATGTATATATAATAATTAATAGTTTTCTGCCCGATCCTGCCCGTTCCTGTAAATCGTCGAACCCCTAGTCACGGCATTTCGGTGATGTTTTCTGCACCAAATCGCATATGTCCAGATAGGATGTGACATATAGAAGTAAATAACTTCAAGAAATGCGATATTTCACAGTAATAAAGAAGTATTGGGTTCATAACTGGATCGTATGGGGTAGTATTGGGTGGTATGGGGTAGTATTGGGTCATAGTCACGGCAATTCGGTGATGTTTTCGGCACCAAATCGCATATTTCCTGATAAAATATTGCAGATGGAAGTAAATAACGTCTACAAAGGTGATATTTCACAGTAATAAATAAGTATTTGGTTCATAACTGGGTCGTATGGGGTAGTATTGGGTAGTATTGGGTGGTGGTATTGGGTAGTATTGGGTGGTATTGGGTGGTATTGGGTAGTATTGGGTAATTAGACGCGCCGTAGCAGGGTCCTATTAAATTCCTGTAGGAACTCTATCTAAATCAGAGATTTATAATTTTATAAATTTCTGATTTAGATAGAGTACCTACAGGAATTAGGTCCTGTTTACTTCTATATGAAAGATGCATTGTTTTATACGCAGGCATGCCCAAGTTTCCTCTGGCTTTAACAACACTTAGCCTTGGACATTTTGACTGATAGAAGTCTCAGTCCCTAACTTGACATTTTTCTGGTGTCAGGGACCAGAGGAAACTTGGGCTTATGGTAATTTTTGGAATCACACTACTCTCTATAATCTGTAATCTGTATCATTATGTCAAATGATCCAATACAAGCATGTTTGAAACGCAGATGAGATGGAGCGCATGCAAGTGGATTTATGTTGCTGAGGGTCACTACGTGCCTCAAATGCCTCAGGCTTGTTGATGAGGACGATTGAATCATGTAGTTGGTTCCACTCGGATATACTGTCCTCGTGAATATTCTTTTTGTAAACTAGGGCTTAATTGCTGGTATTGGCTCTTTAAGAAACACTTTGAGTGGTTTATTTGAGGCTTCTGGATCATATTGACACTCTGGCAGCCTGCATTGCGTATAGATGACCAGATATTGGGAAGACAGCAGTGCTGGCACAGACCCCTCGTCCACTTTGAATAGAACGTTAGGGGAACAACTTGTTGCTTTTCAGTAGTGATTCCAAATATGACAACATCTGCGTTTGATTGTCCCTGAGTCTCTTTCGGGATATAGTCTCCGCTAATAAAATGTGCAGCTCAATGTTGAATCCTTTCAAACTTTCCGATTTGGGCCTAATTCATATCCCAAATAATGGCTCCTGACTCACAAGGTGGAAAATGCAACAAGCCAGTCCAGAATTCAGGCCAGCTCCTGGAATCTCTGAATCCTAGACAAATTGATGCAACACGGTAGATATAGATTCATATCTCATAACACCACATCACCAATATAAGTGTTGACCTAATGAAAACTTACCATGGTGATAGAACATTTATGAACATATTGAAGCATAAATACAGCTTTTTATGACTGTGTTCCTAATAAGTCATTTAAATCTGCTTTTGTGTATATATACATTCAGTTTTGATAAGCCAATTGTTCTTTCCATACTAGAGAGCTGCCTTCCATTTGAAGTGATACTTGCTATTGATGTCAACACTACAGCAAACAAAGCGTACAGACATGCATTCCCAGCCTCCAAACTCTCAGAGTGTGGGATAGAGGTAAGTATAGGACGATGCTTGGATGAAAGATGATCAAGTGTGTTCAAATGAACGACCTTGACTAACTTTTCATAGTTATAGGGGTCAATTGTGCTAAACCATTAAACAGCTTCTATAAATTCTAGACCAAATTTGAAGGTCCAGTGAGTAAATCAAAGTCATAAATTTCAAACAAAGATTTAAAATTTAGAGTAATGATATTATCTCATTATAAATGAATTACACCTTGACCCTGTTTGAAGGTTACAAGTGTGAGATCAATAACAGGTGAGCTATACATGCCCATGAGGCCTTAATTTTGTTCACTAAAATACACTCTCTAGTATTGTATATGCATTTTATATCTTTTAGACACTGACAGTGAAACAGTTGGATGAGTGGAAAATCGACATGATAGTGATGAGTCCGCCGTGCCAGCCGTTCACACGCGTGGGCAAAAAGTTGGATACAGAAGACCTACGTAGCAAGTCATTCCTCCATCTCCTCAGTCTCCTACCAAAGTAAAATATATTGTCAAAACATTACATAAATTATTTTTTAAATTCCAGTGTCACAATTTATAATTGACATATTTATTCAAGTAAAACATTGTATCCAAAAAGTGTCCCCACCACCTCATCATGCCAGGATTTTGTACAGATATTTGCTGCAGTTTAATGTTTTACACCTGGATGCAATTTAACCTGTTTATACAGAATAGTGCTAACGCTGAGACTGAGTGATAAAAAAAACCATTTCACAAGAAAGATGCCACCGTGTACCGTATGTTGCCATGTAACAATATGGGAACCTTCTCTGTGTATACTTTGCTATGTAATAAAACAAGTAGAATCATACAAGATATCCCTTTGTAACGGAGTACTCAAAACATAAGAACTGCCGTCTAAACTACCTAATCGGTTGATTGATAAAATGGAAAGTTTCTCCAAACCTGTACAGCAGAGAGTCTCTAGGAGCTATTAAACTGAGGTACTGACATTTGGATTCCTCCACAAAAATATGGAAAGCTTTAAATGTACACATAATTTTAGTACAAGCTTTAGTTCTCCTTTCTTTTATTTCTCGCATGCTTACTCCTAAAATCTATCTCTGTTATATATACATTATAATTTTTTTTTGACAAATAAGGGAGGAAACTCTTGAAAGATTAATCCAATATTCATCAGCTGTTGAATTGTTGTAGACTGACCTACTGTCCATCCTACATCCTTGTGGAGAACGTGAAGGGATTCGAGTCATCACAGACTAGGGACAGACTGCTAGACACACTCCATACCTGTAGTTTTAACTTCCAGGTAAGTTTGCAATCAGGATCCCAAGGTCAAGGCCTAAGTAACTGTTGCTATTTCTAGGTCAACCACAGGGTTATTGGAGTTTTTCATGATTTATAGAAGTTTCCTAGTTTTAATAGGTATATGTATTCATCTTAATTATTTAACCTGTGTAAAAGGACCACTAATACATATATCTCAGTGTTGTTAGCCTGTGATCAGCAACCACCTACATATATCTCAGTGTTTATAACCTGTGATCAGCAACCACCTACATATATATGAGTGTTGTTAGCCTGTGTTCAGCAACCACCTACATATATCTTAGTGTTTTTAGCCTGTGTTCAGCAACCACCTACATATATCTCAGTGTTGTATGCCTGTGTTCAGCAACCACCTACATATAACTCAGTGTTTATAACCTGTGATCAGCAACCACCTAGATATATCTCAGTGTTGTTAGCCTGTGTTCAGCAACCACCTACATATATCTCCATGTTTATAACCTGTGATCAACAACCACCTACATATCTCAGTGTTTATAACCTGTGATCAACAAACACCTACATATATCTCAGTGTTGTTAGCCTGTGTTCAGCAACCACCGACATATATCTCAGTGTTGTTAGCCTGTGTTCAGCAACCACCTACATATATCTCAGTGTTGTTAGCCTGTGTTCAGCAATCACCTACATATATATATCCGTGTTCAGAACCTTTGTATAATAACAACCTACATATATATCAGTGTTCATAACCTGTGATCAGCAACCACCTATATATATATAGCTACATAATTATATCTCAGTGTTTATAACCTATGATCAGCAACCACCTACATAATTATATCTCAGTGTTTATAACCTGTGTTCAGCAACCACCTTCATATATCTCAGTGTTGTTAGCCTGTGTTCAGCAATCACCTACATATATCTCAGTGTTGTTAGCCTGTGTTCAGCAACCACCTACATATATCTTAGTGTTTTTAGCCCGTGTTCAGCAACCACCTACATATATCTCAGTGTTGTTAGCCTGTGTTCAGCAACCACCTACATATATCTCCGTGTTTAAAACCTGTGATCAGCAACCACCTCAATATATCTTCGTGTTTATAGCCTGTGATCAGCAACCACCTACATATATCTCAGTGTTGTTAGCCTGTGTTCAGCAGTCACCTACATATATCTCAGTGTTTAAAACCTGTGATCAGCAACCACCTACATATATCTCAGTGTTTTTAGCCCATGTTCAGCAACCACCCACATATATATCAGTGTTTATAATCTGTGTATATCCTACATACCACTGTAAATCTCAATATCTTTTACCTGTGTGTATCAACTACCTTCAGATATCTCAATGTTTCTAATCTCTGTAAAAGGTACAAGTATATGTTAGAAGTGTCTAATCCTATGCAAATATAACTGTTTTTTTTTTTTTGAAGGAATGTTTGCTGACCCCCTTGCAATTCGGGATTCCTAACTCCAGACTGCGTTACTACCTAATAGCCAAGAGAGCACCATTGAAATTCAGCTTTAAAACTAGTGAAAAGGTAAATATAGTTTGTACTGGTATACCTTGTCCAATTTTATGAAACAAATCCTTTACAGTGCTCAGTGATGTAATAACATGATGTATGTAGATTATGAAACAGTAATCACAGGTCTTCGACACGACTCAATTTTAGAATGTATGTATGGCTAAGAAGGCTTTCAACATCATGAATTCTTTCAAACATAAAATTTGGGTGCATTGTCGAATTATTCTTGCATTCTATATAAAAGTTGAAGTTCCATTAAGCGAATAGAAAGTGTCCTCTTGTTAAGGGTATAAATGTCTTGTTTTGTATGCCATTCTTGTTTGGGTCTGGTATCAGATTACAAACTTTTTGTTCGCTGTATCATGCACTATTGTTTTACAGTGTTTGTTGTACACATATCATTGTAAATATGTAACTACATCAATACCTAGTATTTGTCTATATCTGACAGCACTTTATATGAAATTATGTACATATTGACTTGTATGTCCACAGATATTGTAATATTGACTTAAATGCCCCCAGCTACTATCACATCATATAGTTCCAGTTTACATGTATTTTATTTTGACTTAAATGCCCCCCACTGGTTTCACATCATGTAGTTTCAGTTTACCTGTATTTAATATTGAGTTGTATGCCCTCAAGGTGATGTGATAAATATGTATATAGTTTCAGTTTAGATGTATTTTATTTTGACTTAAATGGTCTCGCTGGTTTCACATCATATAGTTTCAGTTTACATGTATTTTATACATGTATTGACTTAAATGCTCCTATTTTCACATCGTATGATGTCAGTTTACATGTATTAAGTGTTAAGCTGTATGCCCCAAGGTGCTCCAATTTTCCAGGGGGGGGGGGGGTCCATGTGGGGGAAAATTGAGGAAAATGGTGAAAATACATGATTTAAAAAAGAAGAAAAAAACAACTCTGGATCCGCCACTTACCACTAATACTGTTCACATTGCTCTTGATTTACTGCTTTTGATTCCAGATTCTAGATACAGTACCAAGCTTTGCGGCAAGATGGCTATCATACAAAGTGCACAAAAAATGCAGCAGTTCAAGATCTGCTATTGGTTCAGAGGCTGGCGCATCCACAACATCAGCTGTTGCCACAGACACCACAGAGACATGTGGAACCACCATGTCACCACCTATTGGCACCGACATCACAGGGACAGGTGGAACCACCACGTCACCACCTGTTGGCACAGACATCACAGGGACAAGTGGAACCTCCACGTTGCCAGTTGCCACCATTGCCACTGACACCACGGTGATTGATGGAACAAAAACACCATCAACCAACACCCCTGCTGACAGTGGTATACAGATTGGCATCAACAGTAACAACAAACATACAATATGTTCACAAAAATCTTCAGAAAAGTCAAATATGTGTTCAAATATTCATGGAGAAGGAGGTCAAGAACATACAAACTTTTGTACAAGTTTGTATGAAAAGAACAGGGTTGGGTATAGTGGTAAATATCAGGCATTGCTTGAGTATGGACATAACATGAGGCAGCTGGAAAGCGATGTCCGGAAATTGTCTGAGGAATGTGTGAGTCTTGGACATTTCCTGGAACAAAGAGAACAAGAGCATTTTGATGCCTATAGACTTACAGACAAAGAGCTGCGGCGTTTTATAGTGATGGATATTGTACACCCTTGTCTCACCAAGACGATCTGCTTCACCAAGAGGTAGAATATACTGCTATTTGGCTTTAATTGTTTATATTGAATAGCTCTTTGTAAATGGTTACAAATCAAAAAAACTTCTTGTAGAGATTTGTAAGGTTTTTAATTTGTTTCATTTAAATTTTATAATTAAATGTATTGTGAAATGCATTGTACATAATATTTTACTTGTTTTGAATATAAGAATGAATTTGTGAGTATTCTGGTTTTTCCCAGGTAAACTAATATGACTGATATTTGTGTTTGTAGGTACGGTCACTTTATGGAGGGTGCCGGATCAATTATTCAGATGACCACAGATGTTGAGGTACTGCTCACTGGTCAGATCCAGTCATAAATTGTTCCGAGCTTGATCTATTTCTAACATTTTTCTTATCTCCAAATGATAATGTTAAGTTTTGAATTATAATTTTTGAAAAATTCTTCAGATATGAATATTTGTGAATATGACTTGATAAGGATTCAACATATAATAATAACAATTGGAGGTTCTTATATACCGCTTTATCACATCTTAGTTCGTAGGTCGTCTCAAAGCGGTTCACAAATCATTATCCGTGGTTATAGGACCTTTGCAACCAGCCAACATCTTTCTCAGCTCCCTGTGGAGCATACAGTGGGCTGGCCTGGTGCTGCCATTTATGCGCTCACAGCTAGCATTCTACAATTCTAGCACTGCCCAACCACGTACTCATTTACAGCTGAGTAGACTGGAAGAAGCGGAGTAACGTATCTTATTCAAAGATACAACACAGTGCTGTGACGTGACTCGAACCCGCAACCCTTCGGTCACGAGCCCGGCGTCATACCACTCAACTACCATGCCTCTTGAACATACTATGTTCAAGTTATAAGTAACCTTCACTTGTATTGTGATACAGTCTGTCATGTGACCATTTGATTATGACTACCTGTACTTATCTTGTGAGATCTTCTTATGGCAGCCAAGGGCTTGTCATGGTAGTCGGACATGCACACACATTGCTATCATTTACATGTACTTAATGCAAAACACAAATGGTGAATATTTATTTGTTCATTAACAAGCAAACATAATGTTTCACTGTCACACTTAAACAATATTCTCATGCTTCTCTGTCCCAGGGAAAATCCTTGAATTTTAGAGCATTGGGCCATTTCAGCAATTTTTATTCAATAGAAATATTAATGTTCTGTGTAAAATTAAACAAAAGTTGGAACATGGAAGCGTCAATTTCAGTTTTGAGGGGTCAGTGGCCGTTCCAGGACTATCCCTGCTGTCCCACAAGGAATTGAGGAAATCAAACCTACAAAACTAGTATAATGGTGATAAATATTGTGGAAAATGGTTTTCACTACGGTTTTCCTTTTAACAGGTTGTAAAGAGAGCTAGTGAGTTTAAACACAGTGCCATGGAATTACAGAATCGTGACGAGTGGGGAGAAGAGGACATAGCCATCATCAGGGCCCTACAGCTACGCTACTTTACACCTCGAGAAATAGCAAACCTCCTGTGCTTCCAACAAGGCTACAGTACGTATATTTGTTTTTTCCGGTCCAATCATTTTAATTTGAAGGAAATGTTTAACATTTCAAGGACTGATACCAAGCTTGAATTTACATCATTGGATTTATTAGATTTATTGCTGTCTCCTTTTGATGTCACTTGTGCCTTGTATAGATATATTATAATTGAACAATACCATATCTGTCCAAGGATCTTCATTCCGATTTGATCTCTTCCTCTTTTGATCAGGTTTCCCAGAAGACCAATCCAGAATACAGTCATACCGGTTGCTAGGCAACAGTCTGAATGTCCATGTTGTGTCCGTTCTGCTGAGGATGTTGGTGGATGGGGACACCTGATGGATAAAAATCCTTGAGAATGTCTTGTGATGGAAACATGACCTTGATGTTATGGGGACTTGACCTTGATGGGAAGCTACGTGGACAGAAATTAATCTAATAACCCACGCATTCCGTGATCAGTGTGTAGATTGCCTCCACTATCTGCCATTGATACTTTGCTCTCCATCACCAACCCTCCTTACGTACCAGTGCTATCCTGCATACTGTTACGTACAGGTTTAAACCAAAATGGACGCATTAAACATTAAAGCAAGTGTACAAGATGTGTTGATATTCATATAAAAGCGTGTGTATTGTAACCTCATGTGTATAACAAACTGATGTTACATCAGTGTGTATGAATATCAACTACTGCATGACACGTGGCTATAGGGGGCTAGTTTTGAGTTCCTTTGAGGTTTGTTTTAAACATGCTAAAAGTGCAATATGTTAATCAGGAGATATTTTCTCGAGTGGTTTATGCCATATATCTTTTCTGGTACCATTCAAACTTGTGATGATAGTCATACTTTTACATCAAATACAAATAAAGAATTTAAGTTTAATTCGTAGTGTTTGTACTTTCTTATTAATTTGCTGTTGCTGTTACACATATACATTTGTACAAAATGAAAAAATTGAAATGTATGTATTGTCTTAAATACATGCAATTCAGTCCTTATATTTATGTTCAGATTAACAAGGGAAGTGCTACTTCATCTGTAGGTGGTTTGTTTTGTTGTAAGATACATTTTACACAAACTGCTTTAACTAATGCAGGAACAGACGTTTTCGTGGAAACAAAGTGATGTTTTTTTCTATGGTTATCATTTTGGGTCAGCCAATTTGATGACATACAATTGAGCTTGTATCACTCGAAAAGTTTGACAGAAAGTTCCAAACAGTTTCAATTTTTTGCAAGTTATTGTTCAGGTTGCACCACTTTCAAAACAACATTTAGTTGGCGAGTTTATTTAGAGGCTGTAAATTTGTTAAGTCAAATGTTTTTTTTTTCCTCTGGTAGAAGGGGTATACATAGTTTGTGTACTGTAATAGAAAAGGGAGAAAATGCAAGAAGCCAGACAAATTTAAGTTTTGGACCGAGTCCAGATTTGTACATTTTTCTTTCCTTTACAATATTTACAGCCCAGGTTTTGGTATCCTCCTAACCACCTCCCTTTGACAGAAACCTAGTTACATCAAATGGTCAGCCTTTTTATTTTGGGTATTCAAGATGGCCACAATGGCCGTCAAATGGCTGTGGAGTTAAGTTATGTGGGGCCAACTTTGTTGATAAATTTTGAGAGCGATACATAGAGAATATACTTTATATTAAAAGGCTGACTTTAAAAATTTTGATTTCAAGATGGCTTCTGATTGACTGAAACATTCATACATTTGTATGCCTTTGGTTTACAGTTTTACTCTAAACAGTATTTTATTCAATAATCCAACATAATTATAACAAGCATACAATATCAGAGATAGGAGAACAAGATTCAAGCTTTCATTAATAGTGTTTCTAGCGGTTTGTCCACTCAGATGTCAAACATCTCCCATGTTTTGTTCATTATTGTTCAGTCACTTGACTCTTTAAGAAGCAGTTGTTGAATGTTGCATACATCGACTCAAATCGTCACTCTCTACTTGGGGAGCCCCTGTTACCTCTCATGCGAGATATAAAACAAGGGAGATCTCCCTCATTGGAGGTTTCGGAGGTCGACGCCTAGTAGAAACCAATTAAACCACTCAATGTCATATAGTCTCTAACTCAGTTCTTCCGTCTCTCATCACATTATATAAACTTTTACTGCTCTGCCACAATGTTACATTCTGCCTATCCCTTTCCTACTACACAACATCTCTGATCAAAACAACACTCATTGGTTGACTCCATAATTTAAGAACATTTGTACCTTATTTGGAGTCAATCGGTGCAGCCCTTTCTGGGAAGAAGTCGAAAATGTCTTGGTAAGTCGGAGGCCAGAGCAGCCATCTTGAATTTACGGATCAACAAAAAGAGTAAAAACCTTGTTGGGGACTTTGTGAGGAGCATTTGTACAAAGTTTAGAGTAAATCGGTGCAGCCATTCCTGCGAAAAAGTTACAAATGTCCAAGTCAATCAGAGGGAAGGATGGCCATCTTGAATATCTGCATGTTATCTACATGTATATGATTCATCCATAAGAAATAAGCAAAACATGTACGTTTGTAATATTTCTTTTATTTTTATAAAAAATGTTCAAGCTTGAAAATCATATACATTGTATGACTGTGAACTGTAATAACAACATGAACACACTGACACTAGTCTACATAACTGAAAATTGTTGATAAAATGAGTAAAACAGTTAGGTATATTTCACGGCCCTATTGATAAAATGGTATTGTTTCAGAGTACACTTGTATTATAGTACTTAATGTGGTGAACTCAAATTCAGAGGAGTCAAATAAACTTGAGGACAACAGTCTCTTTGAAGTCAGAAGTCAGATGTGAATATTGAATCTTGGTCTTTCTTAAACGCACCCTCCTAATAGGGTTAGTATAATTGATTCCACTTAATATCACATTGTTAATATCACATAGTGGCTAATATTTTGTGTTCCTAAAACATATATTTGAAGTAATTTTTGGCATATAATTTTTTGTAGTCAAATTCTATCGCATGTAAAAGTGACTTGTACACATTTAAACTTGAAAACAATAGCACTTTAGTTGGTAATAATGCTGATGGTCCAACAGTTAACAAAGAAAATAATATATAACAAATGTCTATGTTGATGTAGCTTTGAACTATTACGACAAGAACAATTAACACCATTTGTAAATTATATATTACCTCATCTTAATAAGTAACATACATATTTACATATATCTTAATTTATACCAAAGCACAAAAAAACCCATCACATTTCAGATAATGCCACATTTCTCTTTATATCACGTTTTACCTTGACAAACAGCACATGATATTCTGTGGAATGTACTTGTGTCAGTATATTAATATTGACACATTAACGCTGTACAAACCCAGGACCATTAATAAAGCAATTAAAACTTCAAAAAATACGGTTAACTTACGAAAATGTTCTGCTATAATACACTATATAATTTTCACATTATTAAACTGTATAAGGTATGTTTTATTCCTCATAGCAAAATTGGTACAATGGCTTATTTTGTGATGTAAAAATATCTTTGAGCGATTCTTTCCAATCATATATAATAGTTATTATAATTATAAGTTATTACATGCACAGGAAAATTGGCTGTCTAACAGAAAATATTGATACAGATTATAGTTTTAGATGCCTGATGAAAGCCGTGCTGGAAATTTACTTCAGTAAAAGATCAAGCAGGACACTAGACAACAAATTCCATTCGTACAATCAAATGTATCTAAATGAATTCCTTGATCTGAGGAAAAAGCTATCCTAAAACAATACCATGTTTTAATAGAAAGTTGTCCTGAAAATTAGTACTGTAACTGCAACACCTAGCACTAGCTTAGCCTGGTAATGTAATCATCACACAATATGTATAGAAGGAAATACTGGTATTATGTTTGTAAAAAAAAAAAAAAAAATACAAAATCAATAACACAACAATCACAACACCGGTTAATGTATGCATTTCATGGCCTTATCCAAAATAATGACTGGCACAGAAAACAATGTCACCAAAAACAAGTCCAATGATGTTCTTCGTGTTAGATGATGTTTTAATAATAAATGTCTTAAAAGATGGGTTGCCACCAATTTTCAGCAACAATTCACAATTAACCCTTTCACTACTGTAAACCATTATGGACTCATCCAGATCAATGCATGGAAGAGTCTACCAAAGTCACATAGGGGTGAAAGGGTTAAGACAGACCTCAAAGCTAAAGCATCACAGGAGGTGAATACATGCACCTCCAGTAAAATGGAGTTTGACAGGCAAGTACAAAAACACCAATACTGTCATCAAACGATCAATTTAGTGGAACAATTTTCACCCGTCACTTACTATTGCAGGTCACAGATAACAGTAAATCCTGGGTTATCGATTTTGAAGAAGACTCACTCCATATCGGAAAACTAAATTTCTTCTTAAACCCATCGAAAAACTCGGAGATACAAATGTACCTTTGGATTGCATTGGGCATCATGCACTTTCATATTCAGTTTTGTTTTGTTCAAAGCAAGCAAAAAATAAACAATGCTTCAGTATATTCGAAATCAGTGGTAACCCATCTCAAGTGTCATTTAAATACAGTATTAAATACAGTAATGTTTTTATTTCTAAAAAGTCATTTTCAATACCCATTTCATCATCAACAGTTGGTTAAAAAAAAATAACTGTCCAAGCAAAAAGAACTGATCAAAGTACTCTGATCACTACTTGTTAGAAAATAAGTTTTTTTTCCAAATTTATACACAAAAATAAAAATGCCAAAATGGATACATTGGGGTATTTGTGATTTTACAGGAACAATTGTACCTGAAGAAATTTCAAATAAACATAAAAAAACCCAACAACAACATAAAAGGACCAATGAAAGAGTTTTGTGAACTGACATGGAATAGTTACTGGCCAGACAAACGGATAAATTGTCATGGCAAGAATGAAACAAACAAAAATCTAACTGATAAATCTTTTTTCCAAAATTTTCATTTTAGATCAAAGTAGGCCGTTATTGGATTAGTTTCACTAATCTTTTAATTAATTGTTGAATCATGAAGCAGAAACTAATAAATATATTTTAATTCCTTAAATCTGCTTTACAACAACTAAATAACACTAAACATATGAAAGTCCGTCTCTGTGAAGTTAAAAACAGTTTAATAACTTTAACATACATTTCAAGCATGAGATCACTGTTGGAAAATTTAAGAAAATTTGCTTTATTCCTACTTTAATATAACTTTTGATTATGAATTCCCTTTTATAGATATAAACTGATATGCAAACAACAGTTTTTAAATATATGTGCCAACATTTTTTTTTTAAAACCATCACATCAAAAACAACAAAATGCATACAATTCCGACATTGTTTATGAAGAACAAAGGCAAACCTAAGTGACAGTGACTTCTACCACACAAGGAATAACAAAGTCCTCAACAAGTCCAGTCTCTAAAAATAGTTAATACAGCTCATTAAAACAACAATGACATGCTTTCAGTTTTGAATTATATACATATAATCACGCCGGAAGACTAGCCAGTATTAAACAAACTAGTCTTACGATCTCGCCAACAAATAGACCAAGTTTTACAATACTGGTAGTCGACATTTCTGTCCTACTGACTGTTTTGGGGGGAAAAACAGTTAAACATTACAATCAATATGAAATCATGATCAGGTAAGCTGTCACTAATTTGATTCTTTTAACCCTTTCACCCCTATGTAACTTTAGTAGACTCTACCATGCATTGATCTGGATGAGTCCATTATGGTCTACAGTGTTGAAACGGTTAATCTCTAAAGTATTGCTTGCACTAAAACAGCTGTAAGTGGCAAACTAATCAGTGAAGTACGGGATTACCTCCCCTTACACTATAATTCCAAACTATAATTTTAAACTTTTTCATAACATAATTTTTGAGGAATATCTAACAAATTGCTCGTTTTCATTAGATAAACATTTTAAATCCTTGTACATGCAAGTTTAGTTTAGAAGTTCAATATTGTTGAAAATATCCTTGTTTAAGCATTAAATTGTTGTTAAGATAATCGGGGCTCAGTTGTTGACTGCCCTTTTGTGTATGTTAGTCATACGATGACCATTTAAAATCCTTATACATACTTTAGTTTTAAATTTCCATTGTTTTGAAATATGCTAGTTTAAAATTTGTATTAATTTAATTAGACTTTGTTCTCAGGTTGACAGAAAATCAAAACTTTAATCCCGAGTTTAGGTGACCCGACGGGATGTATACACTACATTTTACAAATCAAACTAAACTAATCTTTAAAGATTCATTAATTTGAATAAGGGTTAATGGAAATAAATTTTGATTTGGTGTTGAGTGCTGCTGCAATTTGTCCTTAAAAAAAATTATAATAACTTTTATAGTTCCCCCAACACTTAATAAAATCTAGAACAAATTTCCCTAATAGTTCCCCCAATTCTCAGTAAATTACCAGTATTAGAATTCTAAGTCTTATAGAGACCATAATCTACAACAATATGCATAGCTTTCATTTTTAACAATAACAATCATTTGACACCATGCTACATGTATGTACAAATATATACCGATATGTCTTATTGGAATCAATTAGCCCCTACATTCACAACGACAAAATGTAACATAGTTGCAGGTCGTGCTACAATACTGCACGAAAGCATGTCAAACTTATTCCGAACATGCCACAAATAATGTCCTTGTAAACTTTACCCAAAGCAGATTTATTCAGGCTAATTTGCTCTGTTATATGTCTTATGATAAAATTGAAATATTACCATCTGTGGAAGAAAATATAATCTAGATTGAAGAGAGTAACTTTGTTTTTGCATTAGAAAAACTGATAAAGATTTTTTTTCATTAAAAATGTGGAAACACTCAGCCAGCCTCAATCAATCCACATTCCACTCACCATTCACAGTGCAAATACTTTGAATATTTACAAAGTAGCTCTGTAGTTCCATTGAGATGAACTCCCCCTTTCTAGAGAGAGATAAGATGGAACTGCAACTGAAGTGAACATCTCCCAGTTAAAATTTTGTGGCCATTTTCATCTCCATACGGTACATAACAGATCATTACAACAAACGTGAACAAACTTGTTTAGTATCTCGTTCTGTCAATACCATTTTCCAGATGATCAGTAAAATCCTTTTAACAGAATTAGACCCTGAAGTGAATATCATCAATTTAGCAGCGAACTTTTTTTCACAATTTTCTATTTCATCAAAATAAATACACGTATAATTTGAGACTGTTACTACACTTTTTAATTTAAAATTGAAACATTATCAAAATATTATGCTCAGTTTTTCGTTGATCAAACTTTCCTTGGGAAATAAATCTTAGAGGACATGTAGTTGTTTTTTATAGTTCATGACCTCGTCACAAAAATCACTCATAGTCGGAATACACGATAATAATGAAGGAAATCTTAACAGAAATTTCTAATGAAATAAAACATAATTTGACTTTCATTTATTCCATTAATAAATGGATAAACACATAATAGAGTTTAATTTAAAAGAATGTAAAATGTCAACAACAGGAATCAATGTCAAAAGTAAGAAACATAAACAAACAACTGACTGAATTCATGCTTGGAAACTTGGTTGGTATTCAACACTTGCATTATTTAACGCAATGAATCATACAATTTGCAATGAAGTAAGCATCCTTGAACAGACCCAGGGTCTTATAAAAGGCCATTTCCGTTTTAAATAGGGAACAATCGGCCAATTCGTACAGTTTTAGGGCCAAGAGAGCTAAAACATCAATACCTATATCGAGCACTAATGGAAGTATACACAGTTCATATACAGTGTACAACAAATGTTAAGTTTGTTTTGAATTCAAATAGTAATTGAAAACTTGTCTTTGGCCATTAAGTCACAAGTTGTCAGGTCAGTAAAGTCAGCTGTCAGAAAATATTGAGACATTTTGCCAAATAGCACTAATACTGCAGCCAGTCAGACGGACGGGGCGGGTGATGAGTTTATCCATTCGGCCCGTTAGTGCTAGCTAAAACAAGTTTTCAATTACCGTTTGTTTTCAACACAAACGTAGATTTTATTCATACTAAATTCATGAATCTCGTTCTGAAGATCATATACAAATATGTCATGTCCGATGTCATAATTTTGTAAATAAAGCCTCGTTTTCTGTTTCATAACACAAAGCCATGCCATTCATATGTCTAATAATTCACAAAACGCAAAACCCTTGAAATAAATATCAAACAACACAAAAACACAACGTATAACTAATAAAAAATAAAAAAATGACTATGTTCACCAGTTGAGATTCTCGGAAATTTCTTTTTAACAATATTACTGTGAGCCATAATATTAAAAAGGTTAATCTTCTTTGTAAATAGGAAAAAGTGAACTGTTACTTGGTTCGAAAAGCTTCATACCTTTAAGAAACTATTCAAACAATACCCATTAATGGTTACAAAATGTACATAGGTCATAAATGGTTCCTAAAATCCACAGGCCGGAATCACCACGTGCCCAAGGCACAGGCTATATGTACCTTTAATAAGGTCTCGAGAGAATTTTTAGCTGTAAATATTGCAAGTCTATCACACCTGGACAAAACTAAGACAAATTTGATATTTTATCACCAAACATTCACCTACCTGTAAGTGTGTAATGTTTGACTGAAAGGTTACATTCATTATAAATGAGAAAGTAAATTTATCACCTTTAAAAAAGCCTGTTATACCTGTACTTCTAGTCCCATTTTTTTCATAATTAGAAAATTATTCATTCAACAGTGATTACCAGGTAAATGATTAATATCCGTAAGAAAAGTCCCATAATAACACCGAGTTCATTAAGCCTGTATCATCCCGAAGAAAACATATTTTTTTCCATTTTTTAATAATTTGTATATATTTACCCAAACTGTGTCAGCAGGATATTATTTCAAGTGTCACAAAACCAATGAATAGTGATGCATAAGACATTTTTAATGACATTATTTTTTTCTTTTTCTTTTTTTCCCCCCAAAATATATATTGAAATTATATATTCTAAAAGATAAATGTGATATTAACACAAAATAAATCACAGAGATTCAAACATCAATGAGATTCACAAACAAAAAGAGCAAATGTGTCTTGGTCTCAAGGTACATGGTTGAGTAACATAACAAATCACACATTATCCCTACAGCGAGGCTAAACCAGTACCCCTAATTTTGACCGTCAGTAGTTGCTGAGGCCCAAACAATACCCCTAATTTTGACCGTCAGTAGTTGCTGAGGCCCAAACAATACCCCTAATTTTGACCGTCAGTAGTTGCTGGGGCCCAAACAATACCCCTAATTTTAACCGTCAATAGTTGCTGGGGCCCAAACGATACCCCTAATTTTGACCGTCAGTAGTCGCTGAGACCCAAACAATAACCTTAATTTTGACCGTCAGTAGTCGCTGAGGCCCAAACAATACCCTTAATTTTGCCTGTCAGTAGTTGCTGAGGCCCAAACAATACCGATAATTTTGCCTGTCAGTAGTTGGCGAGGCCCAAACAATACCCCTAATTTTTACCGTCAGTAGTTGCGGAGGCCCAAACAATACCGATAATTTTGACTGCCACTAGTCGCTGAGGACCAAACAATACCCCTAATTTTTACCATCAGTAGTCAGCGAGGCCCAAATGTTACGCCTAATTATAATTTGGAATGTCAGTAGTCAGCGAGGCCAAAACAGTACCCCTTATTTTGACCGTCAGTAGTCCGTGAAGCTGAGGCTAAAACAGTACCCCTTATCTGGACTGTCACTAGTCAGTGAGGCTAAAACAGTACCCCTTATTTGGACTGTCACTAGTCAATGAGGCTCAAACAGTACCCCTTATTTGGACTGTCACTAGTCAGTGAGGCTAAAACGGTACCCCTAATTTGGACTGTCACTAGTCAGTGAGGCTAAAACTGCACCCCTAATTTGGACAGTCACTAGTCAGTGAGGCTCAAACAGTACCCCTAATCTGGACCATCAATAGAAGATCAACTCAAACATTCAACCCACTAGTCAGCTACCCCTTACCCCCCTCAAAATATGATAACATTAATTGTCCGAGATTCACCGGTCCGTCACAGATCCCGGGACTGTGCTTGGTACATCAGCTGCACATACATGTCTATATCACAGCCTTACAACAGAGACTCTATCCTGACATGTTGACTCGTGTATCTGTGCTGTTTATATCAGTAATGTCCTCCATCCAGCCACTTGGCTTTTTACCGTACTGAAATGTAAAAAAGTGAAGTGTTGTTTTTCTATCATTAAGAAAGTGAAGTGTTGTTTTTCTATCATTAAGAAAGTGAAGTGTTGTTTTTCTATCATTAAGAAAGTGAAGTGTTGTTTTTCTATCATCCTTCAATATAATAGATTGTATGTAAAGTGGTTCTGTATAATATTTCAAAATTTCAGCAGATTGTAAACATGCTGTTTTATAGGAAGCTTTGAATAGCACAACCAGTTAAGTGTTGTTATAGGAAGGTTTGAATAGCACAACCAGTTAAGTGTTGTTATAGGCAGGTTTGAATAGCACAAACAGTTAAGTGTTTACGTGTGATGTTTCGCTGACTAGTATGTTTCTTACTGTCACCTTTACCAGACAAATGTCCAGTGACGGATTAGTACACAAGGGTAAAATATGTAGCAATTCAAAATTTGTGTCAATTAGGCTATGTTTTAAGCATATTTACACTTAGTCATTATATATATATTATACATGTTCGCAAAGACATATCAAACCAACAAGTTGATTCAGCTCCACTTTGTATAATATGTAGTCATATATGTGCAAGAGTCTATGAGCCCCTCATCTCGATTCAGAACTGGCCCACTAAATACAGATGTTGCTGATATAATTACAAAGTTTAATTACTGTATCTAATTATAGTCTGTCCAAGCCTTGGAGGTGTTCCACATGGATCTGGAGTGAAGAAACATAACCTACCTGTATATCTGTGAGTTCATTGTAAAATCTTTGTGTGAGAGAATTCTCATCCCCAACAGGTAGGTCTATCCAATTGTTTTTATACAAAATTCTTGCTACAGGGCACACAACAGATGCTGTCCCAGCTCCAAACAGTTCAATAACCTGTCAAATATATATATATATATATATATATATACAGTTAAAAAATGTCATTGAATTATAAAACAATAGAAACGGTTATCTGAACTCTGAATACCAATACTAAATTTTAAATCAAACTCCGCTTACATTGTACACCCCAGCATTTAACAGTAGGATCATATCTGTAACCCCGGGGTTGGTCAGTAAAAGGTGTTTTTCTTCTTTTCTTACTACGTACATTGTACCATAAATAAAACCTTACCCTGTTCTCACTGAGGGCCTCAATCATTTGTTCCATAGTGTAAACCTTCTCGGACACTTTGAACTCATTCTGTAAAAGATATAACAAACATGTTTATTCTAATTTGAACTTTTGCCCATTTTTCTTTCTTGAGAAGAGTTACACAATAACAAAGTTCTTCAGGTGCATTAGGAACATTTAAAAGTTCATTTGTTAAGTAACATAAATCCTAAACTTATTTATACTTGTATCATAATTTCATTATTGAAATACAGTATAATACTATATACATCAACATCAAGCACCTAAACACAGGGTGAGGAAAAGCAATGAACTATTTAAGGAAACTGAAATCCTAACCAAACTTTAAAACAAAACATTTTGAAAGAATAAGTCTCAAAGCATTTTCAAATTCAGACATACTTGTGATGTAGACTTACCCATTCTCTCCCCAAGTGGAGGAGACTGCTTCTCGTGATTCCGGGGAGGATGATTCCATTCAGGGGCGCGGTGATCAACTCCTCCTCTGTAATATCAAATCTCACATATATGTTTCATGTTTAATAATCATGTCTGACCTTAAAACAGGTTTTCCCTTTGTTTTCCTGTAAGTTGCCTTATCTTTAATTCTTTGATGATGACAACAAAAAGTTTTCACAGAAGTAAACATCAATCATATCAACGTCGTTTGAAGTGTGGCAAAACAATGAGATTGATTAACTGCTATCAAAACATTTCAAGTCCCAACTTAATTTTCTGTTTAGTAGCACACAGAACTAGGCTGAATGACATGCCATTCACAGTAGTACAGTAGGCTGAACGACATGCCATTCACAGTAGTACAAAGTGTATACCACACACCTCCTTGTTTGTTAATCCAGTGTAGGAAGAGGTTCATAGTACCGACCTCAGTCATCTCATGGTCTTCCCCATACAGCCACAGGACCTGCTGACAGCCACGCTGTTCTGCCAAGTCCTGCACTGCAATCGTCGGGCCGTAGTTACTGTCAATTAAAAACTACACATTTAGGGCTCATTGCAAGACACATGAAGTCACATTCAACTTAAAACCTGAAGCTAGATAACCTGTTAAAAAGTAGATTTTTTTTTTCATGAAACCCCCAAGTGACGAGGCAAACAAGGTTCCCAGTTTTCTATATCATTTCGACATAAACACACAGTAGAGTGTGAAGTTACTGAGCTTTTAATATAAGTGCCAGTCACATCACTAAAAGAAGATATCAATGAAAAACTTCTATGCCATCCATTTCACTTTCAACAGACCTGTTTACTTCCTTTATTTTGAACTTTGAGAAGTTTTAAATCTGAAAAGCTAAAACTTACAAAAAGAAAATTTAATGTTTCCCATTAAATGGAACACATTTTACTCAAATGGGATGATTTTCACTTGTAATTTAAACTTATGAAATGTTAAAATCATCCTGTACTCATAGAATATATTTGATGTTTATAGGGAGACCTTAATTATCTTCAATTTGTTTTTGTCATCAAATCATCGCATAGTCATCATCATTAGCACATCAACTTACTTAATTCTTGGAAAATTTACTATAATTTACTAGGGAAAAACTCGTTGAAATTGAGAGGAGGGTCATCAGAAAGACCTGTTAAAATCCTGGAAAAAGTCCCGATATTATACTTACGATCCCATCTTGTACATGCCACTGCCCCCAGGCCAGGCCCGGGCGTATGAGGGGTCAGCCATAAGATTGATTGGCTTTAGCCCTGTAGGGTAATATGGGCCGACTGGGCCTGTAATTACATAAAGCAGGGCATTTTTGGACCTGGCTACTCCAAGGCACGGCTGCAAAATCAAGTTCATTTAGATCTTGTCAAAATTGCGCTAAAATTTTATATGGTGCAGTCTAAAGTTGTCATCCCGGTAAGACAGAGACAGGCGAAGGACACAGCTCTCCAATCTTCTTCCAACCCTCCCAGAAAAACGACATTCAGATACAAAAATAGCCCTTAATTTAACGCTGTAGCTGATATAAATTAGAATACTTTAATTAAACTGGTTTATATTTGTTTTATTAAATAGAAATCCTTGCATAAATTTAATAATAGTAAATTTGGTAACATATTTGCCAGGATTTTAGTGTGATGCCACACACTTTATTCATTAAAAGTGATAAATTTATTATACTGTTTGGTTAATTTTTGCTGGGTAAACTACTATCGCATTACAATGTACCACTGTTACCAATTACAAATCAATAACAAGCAAAAATAATCAAGTTCAAAGTTTAATCAACAAAATTAAGGAGAGAAAAAAAATAGAAATCTTTTGACTAAAACAGGTAAATATTTGAATATTTAAGAGAGAAAATAAAACAGTAACATGAAACAAAGCAAACAGTTATGCCATTCCAAGATTCAATTCTATACGAAAGTTTGTAATGACAGGTGAAACAGAAATTTTGTGACATGAAATGGTGTAGAAGTATGCTCTGAACAACCTCTCGAAGGAAGGATGGACAGAATACTGAGAGACCTAGCTCACTTGGAAACTGGTAAAATAGACGATGCATGGGTTCCTGCATTTTATTTCTGTAAACAAAGTATTGGTTAACTGGTAAATCGTATCAAGTCTCCAGGAAATTGGAGTGAAAACTGATGGGCATGTTATCCAAACTTTGTAATGCTCCAAATACACAAACAGCAGAAAGGCAGTAAATAATTATTAGATCAGTAACCGTTATATATACCCATACAGCATCACTGTGGTGGTGAACCCAGTACCAAATTTCAAAGATATTGCTTGGAAATTAAGCAACCCATTGATTGGACAAATTTTTAGGCTCAAATATATATACACAATGGGCAGGTAAGCATTGTGGAATAAACTAATATGTCAGATACACATGCATATATATAGATACAAATAATGGCAGTAAACTCAAGCAAAAATCAAGGAAACCATGTGAAAAGTGAGGGGGAAATTGTCAAGACATAAAATTAACAAACAATTGGCATTACACTGTTCTTTATATATTCTGACTCGGAGGCAAAAATAAATGGCGTTAAGCATAAATGGTATCCCTTTCCATATAATTATGGTTATATTGCAATTGGGTAGGTGCGATTGAGTTGGGGAAGAGTAGCAATACAATATTTACCTCTGTGCCGATAAAGGTGGGTCGCAAATAGAGGGCGTTGGCCACCTCCGTGGAATGGGGCACCCAGCTCTGATCAATGGAGATCAATTTTTTTATGCACTGGACCAACTCACGCCCATCAAAATTCTGTAGTAAAAACGAAAAACATGACTTTTTATGATAATTATATAAACAGTACAGAATAAAAAATAATCAGAATATAAATATACAATATATATATTGGAAATATATTGGTGTCACGATGTTGTCCTTTTGAAATATATATGACGTCACAAATGTATTTACTTTTGTAGTGTGATGACTTACAATTGTGACGTCACGATGTTGTCCTTTTGAAATATATATGACGTCACAAATGTATTTACTTTTGTAGTGTGATGACTTACAATTGTGACGTCACGATGTTGTCCTTTTGAAATATATATGACGTCACAAATGTATTTACTTTTGTAGTGTGATGACTTACAATTGTGACGTCACGATGTTGTCCTTTTGAAATATATATGACGTCACAAATGTATTTACTTTTGTAGTGTGATGACTTACAATTGTGACGTCACGATGTTGTCCTTTTGAAATATATATGACGTCACAAATGTATTTACTTTTGTAGTGTGATGACTTACAATTGTGACGTCACGATGTTGTCCTTTTGAAATATATATGACGTCACAAATGTATTTACTTTTGTAGTGTGATGACTTACAATTGTGACGTCACGATGTTGTCCTTTTGAAATATATATGACGTCACAAATGTATTTACTTTTGTAGTGTGATGACTTACAATTGTGACGTCACGATGTTGTCCTTTTGAAATATATATGACGTCACAAATGTATTTACTTTTGTAGTGTGATGACTTACAATTGTGACGTCACGATGTTGTCCTTTTGAAATATATATGACGTCACAAATGTATTTACTTTTGTAGTGTGATGACTTACAATTGTGACGTCACGATGTTGTCCTTTTGAAATATATATGACGTCACAAATGTATTTACTTTTGTAGTGTGATGACTTACAATTGTGACGTCACGATGTTGTCCTTTTGAAATATATATGACGTCACAAATGTATTTACTTTTGTAGTGTGATGACTTACAATTGTGACGTCACGATGTTGTCCTTTTGAAATATATATGACGTCACAAATGTATTTACTTTTGTAGTGTGATGACTTACAATTGTGACGTCACGATGTTGTCCTTTTGAAATATATATGACGTCACAAATGTATTTAATTTTGTAGTGTGACGACTTATAATTGTGACGTCACGATGTTGTCCTTTTGAAATGTATTTACTTCTGTAGTGTGATGACATGTAATTGGGACGTCACAATGTTTTACTTTTGAAATAAACCAGTAGAGCCCTGTAAAGGGTGAAAGCAGCTTGTTTTTTAGTCGGTCATTAGATCTCATTTTTTTCTATATAACCGTATATGTATATATGGGTCAAAGAAGTAATATAGACGGTAAAATCCCATATCACACTGGATCCTAATGGAGGTATGTCCGTAGGATACAAATTACTTAAAATATTATATGGGGCAAAGAAGTAATTCCAACAGTGTGGACAAGTTAAGGTTGAACCTTACTGTTGGAATTATCTCTTTGCCCCACGTATATATATAGACAAAATACTGTTGGAATTACCTCTTTGCCCCACGTATATATATAGACAAAATAAGACCTAACGACTGTATATACCTGTATATATAATTATCCTGTAAATCCTGTTTATAGGCATTGTCATTCTAAGGACAATAAACAGTAATCATTTCATATGAAGTTCTTCACACAAGTGTCATATATTGCTGAAAACAAACACATCCTGCAATATATATCACACTTAAATTTATATATTAAAGTAAAAGATCAAAAACGATATAACCTTCAATGAATGAAATTTACTTCATATGTAAATTTTCATAATTCTTTGTAAAAATAAGTAAACTTTTGCCATGAATGAAATTATTGAAACTATTAACATGCAAATTTACATAACTCTTCATGAAAACTAAAGTGTAAGCCATTTCACATAATTCAGTATTTCCTTTTGATCAGGAAACATTAGTAATATTATTGGTTGGGATTTTCTGGTACATTTCATTAAACAACACTCCACCAACGACAGATGTACTACCGGGGTACATACAACATTTTTAGCAACTGTAGCACACAACAACTCCCAAGACAAAACTGGAAGAGACTTGAGAAGCAAGGGTCATAAAGCTATACTTTATCTTATAGCTTATTGCCTTAACACACTCTGTGTATTAGGTAAATGTGATACCATATCCCTGGGCTAGGGAAGGAAGGGAGGTAACTCTTGAAGACCTGGGCAGGAGAAGGTATGTGTTTATATGCACAAAGAAGAAACTGTAACACAACATTCCTCAACAAGAACAGGTTAATGGTCCTGAATCTGGCATTTACGGTTTATCATTGGCAAAAAATAGGGAGACATGTATTTTCCCGCGTATACATCACCCATAACATATAGAGGTATCACTGTTTTAGAACCTTCACAGTGATCACGAACAGATACATGGAAACATTCCTGGTCTACAACAGAGAGATAATAACTGCCACAGTAAGAGAATGTATATACCAAAGCCAGACTAGTGAAAGCCTGAGTAACTGACAACTTAACATCTTTCAGAACAATTCAAATAACCCCAACAAACTATAAACTTCATTTATTTTACAACAATTATGAAACATGTTATTTCAACTTATATTTATTACTCTTGTTGGCCTGGATGTTAGCCCGTGGGGGGGGGGGGGGGGGTGTCTTAGTGTGGAAGAAAACCGGAGTATCTGGAGAAAACCCATGTGGTTGAGCATGCGCAGGTGACACCAACCTTTTCATGTCCAATCGGGGAATCGAACCCCTGACGCCTTGAATTGGTGCAAGGCAAGTGCGATATCCACTGCACGACCCAACCACCCAACAAACCCTAACAAGCCACACAGTTTGAGACGTTTCTATAAAGTTTTAAAGTTTAGATTTTTTTCTTATTTTTTTTCTTTCAATCTTTGTGTTTAATAACTTGATAAATGAGTCTGGTTCAGAGCTATAAAACTCAGACATTTCCACTCACTGTGGAATAAAGTTTAATTTGGCTATATATTCAAATTAAACAGATAGCGCATATCAATCAAAGTCAAGTCGAAGAAACTGATCGATCCAAGTCAATGTGATAGGACAATCCAAGTCAATGTGATAGGACAATCCAAGTCAATGTGATAGGACAATCCAAGTCAATGTGATAGGACAACACCAGTCAATGTGATAGGATAATCCAAGTCAATGTGATAGGACAATACAAGTTAATGTGATAGGACAACACAAGTCAATGTGATAGGACAACACAAGTCAATGTGATAGGACAATCCAAGTCAATGTGATAGGACAATACAAGTCAATGTGATAGGACAATACTAGTCAATGTGATAGGACAATACAAGTCAATGTGATAGGACAACACAAGTCAATGTGATAGGACAATACAAGTCAATGTGTTAGGACAATACAAGTCAAATTAGAAGGACTGCATATGACTTTGAAGAGATTACACAATCCAAGTTTTCAAATTGTCTTACATCACTTTTGTAAACCTGCCAATACCCTACTATTGCAGCAGTTTCATTTCATCTTTCTTGACCATCACTGGTAGGTCTTAAAAATGTTTTTATTTTGTATACATTAGTAAAAACGTTTTCAAAATCTGTGATAATCTTGTTTGATTATATATACATCCAGCTAGATCTATGAAGAAAAACTATGTGTTCCGTTTCCCTGGGACTGACTTTGCTAGAACAACTTAATGATAAGGTATTGACCTGATTCTATGCCAAATAACAAGGTGAGATCATTATTTGTTAATTAGACAAAAGTATTCAGCCAGTACAGGCAGACATATTGTTTTGTATAGACTTACGTAATATATATACCTGCAGGTAAAGGTTCTATTCATCTGTGCCAAAATATCTTGGGCTGATTCTCTGTTTGGTTATCTTTATGATAATTCATTATCAAAACTGTAAAGACTGAACTGTCTGATGACACGATGAATAGAAGTCACAGAAGTTAAGTGGTAGGATGCCAGGCTCGTGACCGAAGGGTTGTGGGTTCGAGTCACGTCACGGCACTGTGTTGTATCTTTGAGCAAGATACTTTACTTCGCTTGTTCCAGTCTACTCAGCTGTAAATGAGAACATGGTTGGGCAGTGCTGGAATTGTTGAATGCTAGCTGTGAGCGCCGAAATCGCAGCACCAGCTGCATGCTCCCCAGGTAGTTGAGAAAGATATTTGCTGGTTGCAAAGGCCTTATAACCACAGATAAAAAAAAAATAACCGCTTTGAGACGACCTACGAACTAGGTTGTGATAAAGCAGTATATCAAAACCAAAATCTTGTCAAAGACTACATAATTTCTAAACTCTTGTCCAGGACTTGGCCATTACATGTACAGTAGGTAATCATTTCCAGGATTAAGCCTGGACTTTCAAGGGGATATGTTGCCACTACCCCAGATCTCACTATGAATACATGGCATTACTTGGATTTCACCTGGATTTGTTTTGTGAAGTTGTTGATGAAGCAGACCCTTTCTGGAACACCTGGTTAAATTTATTCTCCTTTTAAATTATTAAGTGTCTCTGAGTTTCTTTTTCTTTTATAGCTGTTTTTCCAAAGTTTTTAACAATTTTGATATCAAATAAGTAATTTTTCTCACTCCGGTACTCTTTGACTTCTTGTCAGGACTAGGTTTGTTTTTAAAATCTTGTACATGAGTACCCCATTACTTATTATTTCATACTGTTTATCAATCAATTCATGATTGACAGTTCATTTCATTTTGTGCAGGACTAGTGTGAAGATAGCTGAAGCATTACTTAAGTTCTAAGTTGTCTAACAGAATGGGTTATCTGATATTATCTGAACTGGTTTGTATATATGTACATTACATATTTTGTTGCTGATACATGTAGTTAGGGTCTAACAGCAAGCTGTATTTACAGTCAATAGGCTTGGCACAATAACAACTTGATTGTGAAAATAGCCCAGTTGGTCCTGTACTGTCTAGGTTGGTAAATAAGGCAATGGCTGGGTAT